TATAACCAAGAGACTTGGAAAGTCTTCTGGACATTTTTGATTTGCTTTATTCTTGGTAGGTTTGGACTTGGCTCTGGCCAGAAGTTCGTGCCAAACTACAACGCCACACCGGCTGGAACCGTTGCCTACCTCATTTTCCAAGGAGGTAATGAGGCTGCGGCCTTGAAGAAAAACACGGACCGTTTTTTGGGCGTAGGTCTTGGTACAATGCTTGGGCAACTTACTCTGGGCAGTTCCTGCGCCTTTGGGAACTTCTTTCAGACAACGTTCATTTCGCAGATGTTCCTGCCCGTGTATTTGCTTGTTGAATTTGCGTCCTTCTACCTCTACTTTGGTTCTCCAAACTTCAGCTACTGTGGCCTGCTGGTGGCTTGCTTCTTTGCCGAACATGCGCTCGCAAAGTGCGGCGAAATCACAAGCAAAAGCTTGACAAATTATCGAAACCTCTTGAGCCAACTCTTGGCTATTGGCATCGCATCCTTCATGGACATGTTCACGGACACATCACTCAGCGTTCGGGCAACTGAAGATCTGGAGGCCTTTGTAGTAGTCTTCCAGGAGGCGATCTCTTCATTCCTCCCTGGGCACGTGGGAAACGTGCACAACTACCGGGCTGAGGGCTTGGCGCTACTGAGCTCAGCACGCTTGAACGGTGAGGAGGCTAGCCGGGAGCCACGATTTCGGCGGACCCCTTGGCGATCCGAGCTGTGGGGAGATGTGATGACTGTCTGCTCGGAGGCCTGGCAATGCCTTACAATCCTTGGCTGTACGGCCATGCAGTCAAGCCGTCAGCAGGATGTGATCCATAGAGCCGGTCATGTGCTTCTAAAATCCCAGCAGTTTGTCAACAAGCTGAAAGACTTAACTGAAAGAACGGATGAGGCGTTTGAGCTCACTATGAAAATGATGCGGCAGGAGTTCTCCGGTGAAGTGAATCCTGTTACACGGGACTTGCAGGAGCGGCTGGTGATCTCGAACAGAATCAGCGCCAAGGCAGAACCTGGGATTCTGACAGAAGTCCGCAGAAGGCTTGTGAGAGAGAAACCTGCGCAATCCCTGTTGGATGATGAGTTGTGCTCTGTGGCTATGATGCTGATGATGCTCGAGGCCTTTTAGTGTCTAGCTCAAACCCCAGAGCCCTTTGGGAGGTAGTGTAAATGTCGTGTAAACGAGATGTCTGATAGCCCCTGGGAGGCTTTGGCCATCCGCGTGGAAAGATTAGAAACTGCTCTGCTACAACAGCCGGAAATGTGGCAGCTTCTGGCAAGTGGGAGCGAATAGGCAAGACAGAATTTGAGCATCACGCTAATGTCAAGAGTGCATGGGGGCAGCAATGTTCAGGAGTCGCTGTTTGGAAGTTGCTGCAGCTTTTCCGGGACTTGGCATCGTGGGTTCCATTCAACAGTTTGTGTCGGGATGTTGCGAAATGCACATGCTGCCCCATGAATCTCCACAACGTTAATGTGACGGCTTCGTCGATCTGGTATCGACACAAGAATCTTTGAGCAGTAAAAAGGCGTTTGCCACTGGTAGTCCTGCTGGACAGTTGCTGGAAAGCTCCTGCAAACCAGTGTGCGAACATGTGGCATGCTCATCCTAGCAGTGACATGCCAAGGGACGAAGCGTTCCAACCAGTTGGACACGGTCTCAGTAACCAAGTGCTCTTTCCACAGCCGTAGCACTGCACAGGAGGCGAGGTGCAGGTTGCAGCTCCGAACAGGCCCGAACTGGGTGAAGACGCAGATGGGGACGCCAATCCCGCAGCTGCCTGGTGTGCTAATCCAAGACATCCTCACTGGCTCACCGTTCAAGCTGAGGATTTGCGTTCAATCCTGGTATTTCAGTGGAACACTTTCAATAAGGTCTGGTATATGCACGAACGGCAGAACCAGGAGGGCCCTGTCCTCGGACATAAACCGCAAGGTTTACAATTGAATATTGAAAGCACTTTTTGGCATGAGGCAAGCACCAGCCGTGGCTCTTCTTCAACGCTTCTCTTGGGCGGTACACGGCCATGCAATACACTGGGATGCATACGAGAGTCACTTCCAACATTCTTTTAAAAAGGCATCTAAGCAGCCTGCCTTTCTGTGCGCTTGTTTGCCAAATGCTGGAGCCAGCTGCCTTTGGATGTTTGGACACAACTCTTGCGAGCCGGCAAGGTACTTCCGCCAACGTGGAGGAGACGGCGGCAAGCGGTCCACCTCAGAACATGCATAGCTCTGATTGTCAGAAGGTCCACTTGTGTGAACCTGCTTGGCATTGATGTGCGGTCATTGCTGTAACATCCATGCTTGTTGCATCAGCCGTTGAAGATGTAGGCCCAAAGAAGGCTGAGAATTAGTGACTATCGTTTTGCATGGCGGCAGCAGCGGCCGTGAACCAATATTGCCAAAAGCCTTTTGACTTGTAATTTCAGATCCAGGCAGTTTGCCCGCCGCGTTTCTGGGCTTGGGATGCTGTGCAAGCTAAGTGCAAGCTAAGGAATGGTACGCAATTTGAGGCAAATGCTCTCGTAGCCCAAAGTTCTGCAAGATGACCTGTTTGAGATGGTGTTGAGGTGTCCATCACAACGTTGCCTCCGCAGGGCTTCCAGTGAAACTTGCTGGCATTCAGGTTGTTTCGGAGCCATGCGCCCCATCCCATCTCAGTCAGCTTCACTCAGAACATCTCAGAACTGAAAGGCACACTCCGCATTCCTGGAGTACGGAAGGTTTCAATCGCTTCTGCCTCCAGCTGCTTGGCCGAAGAGAACAGCCAAACCTCCTGAGAGCTTGTAAATTCAGGCAAGAAGGGTGCTCAGGCGCAGTCTCCTCAGCTGCTTGAAGCAGGCCAATGCAAATCCGCAGCGATGTTGTTGCGCATTGAGGCTGGCCATGGAGGACATGTTCCACTTTCTTGAGCAGTCCGGCTTGCTCAGCCAGACGATGACTCTCGGCGGATCCAGATTTGCCTTCTATGCTGCGGCCTGGCCGTTGCGTCGCTCTGCTTGGTGGATGCAATGTGGCTGTGCCATGGCCAAGGGCAGAGCCGTCGTCCAAGAAGCGCAAAGTTTCAGGAGGAGTTGCCGTCCCAGCTGGACCTGGTGGCTTTGGAAGCCTGGCAGCACATCCGAAGGCAAGACGGCACGGTGTCATGGCTAACTCTTGTCCCTGGATCTTGGGGCGGCATTTTTTTGCCAATGTAAACATAACTTGCAGGTGTCCCCGCTGGCATCAAACAAGCCTGCATGCAATCTGCATTGTGTGTGGCCTTGTTGCTGGAAGGCGCAAGTAGCGATACGCCCCAGCACAGCTGTTGGTGCCGGTCATCGGCAAGCCGCGACCTCAGTAAAATGAAGGGGACAAGGTCTGCTGCAAATGGCTAGCGGGAATGCTTTGTAAGGCCGTGGTGCACGTTGCCCCAAAGCAGGGGCCTACATCTCCAGCTATGATAAGGCATGTGCTGCTTGTGGTGAGGCTTGTGAGCTTGTCACTTCCGGCTGCTTGGCAAAGGCCCCCAACACCGACAGCAGATGATGGTGCCGGTAACTTCACCCTCGAAATTGCACGGGGGCACTTGAACGAAAATCTCCGGAAGTGGTGCCCCCCCATGGCAAAAAGCTAGTGCGGTACTTGCTTCAAGTACTGCGGGTAGTCAGTTTCACGGAGCACAGAATTGAAACACTCCATTGCTGCCCCAGACAACTGAGGCGCCAGCCAACGGAGATGCAGATACAGCGGCATGGCGCAGATCATGCGTCAACATTTCAGGCAAGCCTGAGCTTCCAGGCAGGTCGAGTCCAAGCCCTTTCACAGTGGCCGAAAAGAGTGTTTGATTCAGGCCAAAGGCAGATGGTTTCGGGAGACGCGACTTGCCGCAGAAGTGAGCCAATCCTTTGAAAAACTTTAAAACACGATCCAGGCATGTGGCATCCAATAAGAAGTCGGTACAGAACGAGCTGGCGCTGAAGGCAGCAGCCAACTTTTCAGAAAACAGTTTGATTGTCCAAGCCACCTGTCAGATCTGCCGGAAGCTGTTCGCGATGGGCCTTCTCAGCCTGTTTGATCAAAGCAGGGTGCAGCGTGTTGTGCAAAACTTACCAGGTCTCATGCCGCCATACCGGCGGAGCAGCATGAAGAGCACGCGGGATGCTCGAGTTGATGTATGTTCGGTTGCCAGGATATGTTTGTGCCAGCAACCGGCAGTGCGAAGACAATTGGCCGCTGCAGGTTTTTTGAGAGCTTGAAGGCTGGAGTCTCTCAAGCTTGCAGCATTAAGGTTGCTGCTTGGATTGCATCCTTTCCGCCAGGGGAGCAAGTATTTCGAAGCTGGCTCCTTCAGCCTTGGCTTGCATCTCGGCCCAACCATTCCTGAGACCGAAAATCACGCATCCGCCTCATGCATGTGCCTTTGTTGGCATCTGTTGGTGTCAGGCAGCCTAGTCTCAAGGCAAGGATCAGCGAAAGCCAGTAGCCACTTGGGGAGCCGAGCCGAAAAAGTAAAATGCCAGGGACGGATGCGTAGCTACTTGCAGCAGCTTGGCTACGAGGCAGCGGACGGCACGCTGCCGTTGAAGCCTTGAAAAGTACCAGGTCTAAATGTTCTTCATGTATGAATTGTATGAAAGGGACACCTGCTGCAGTGCCCGTACAGGGTTCTACAGGGTTATGCAGGGTTACGAAGAGTTAAAGCCAAGCTCTTGAACAACTTTTCCTCTCCGTTGGCTCCACGAGCTGGTCGTGATTGCAAAAGATACATGGGGATGGCAAGGAAGTTGTGTAGGCTGCCTCTCAAGAAACCCTGCAGGCATTGCATAGCACTTTCTGGCAAGACAATAAGCGCGTCATATCGACTCAGTGCTGTAACTTAATCACTTCTTGGCCTTTTTGGCACCGGCGCCGCATGGAAGGACCAGCCTGACTAGATTTTTGAGTTCCTTTCTTGCTTCCGCGACTTCGGAAGTCAGCGAGGCATTCATGTTTTGCATCGTCTTGTATCAAAATCAATAATTGTAGGACATGGCGGAAGATGCTCGCCTACAGATATTCGCTGCCTTCACTGGCCACTTGCTTTGTACGCTCCCTGTCAGCCATTCCGACAGCTTCTTGGCATCAGAACATTACCAGCACTTGCAGACCCAACCTAAAAGATGCGCGTTGGGCGATTCGCACTGCCAACAGCCGCAGGCCTGACAAGCATCAAGAGGAAGGTGGAAAGAGAGCTGCAGATCCCAGTGCGCGAACAACGACTCCTTCCTCTGAGTAGTGGCCCTGCAACACTCTTCGCTGCTCAGCTATGGCATGAGGAAGAGCAGCAGCCACCCTGCTGAATCAGAATCAGGCCACCCACCCAGATGTTCAACATTTCTTTCATTCTCTTCGCCAGCCAGCCAAGGTGGGACATGGCAACCTCAGCTTTGGCGTTGATCCGCTTGAGCCCAGATCGCTTGAAAGCCTTTGACATTCTTTCCTCTGGTGGCAAGCTCAGGCTGCGCTTGATAGAGCCTCTAACTACTATTGGCAAAGCGTACATTCTGTGCTATGTTGTAATACCATGCTTAGGTGGATCTCTGCGTGAGATCCCGGAAGAGCTCCGATCGGATGCAGACATTGTGCTTGCTGCCGTATCTCGCAACGGGTTTGAGCTGCAGTACGCTGCAGATGTCTTGCGAGGCAATGAAGCCGTGGCACTGGCCAGTGTTCGCGAGAATGGGCTTGCCCTCAAGTATGTTTCTGCCGAGTTAAAGGAAGACTGTGACGTTGTCTTGGCAGCCGTGCAGAACAGTGGCTCAGCCCTGAGATATGCCGGAGAAGGACCACGCAGAGATAGAGAGGTTGTGATGGCTGCCGTGTCGAACTGTGGCACGGCGCTGCCCCTGGCCTCCTCCGAGCTGCGAGCGGACCGCGAAGTCGTGCTGGCTGCCTGCCGCGAATGCGGCCTGGCGCTGCGAACGGCCGCAGAAAACCTTCGTGCAGACCGGACGGTGGTTCTTGCAGCTGTTCGCCAAGATGGGCTTGCGCTGAGGTACGCGCCAACTCTTCAGGATGACCGAGAGGTTGTCCAAGTGGCAGTCGCGGAGACGACGGCTGCCTTGAGCTATGCATCAGCCAGCCTAAGAGATGATCCCGAATTTGCAGGGGCAGTGGCGGCACTGCAATCTGATGAGGATAGCTCAAGCTATAGTGGCGGCTCTGTACATGAAGAGGGTGCTGACAGGTTTGAGTGAGATCTTGGAAAGACCTTGCCAGATCTTTAGATCTTTAGATAGCACCACCAAGGGCAAGAATTCCGCAGCCAAAGAAGATCTGCCGAACTCTTTGCTGTTAGGGCCTGAATTGATCTGCGCCATTGGACTTGCATCTGGGCAAAGCCTTAAAAAGAGGTGCAAGGACGGAGCGCGGGTTCCAGATTTCATGGAAGGTCTATTCAATGCAGACCTTTCCGTAGTTTCAACACTGGATTCATTGGTAGCTCTTCTGCCTGCCAATGTCCAAGACTCCATGCTGTGGCAATGGCAGAGTTGATGTCCATCTCGCGGATGAGTTGGGGCACAATAAGCTTATTGATGCTTGTGTGCAAGAATCGGGGCGGGGGAGAGCTTTGGGTTTGAAATGTTCAGGAAACTCGGCAGTTGCCCATTGCAGCAGGATGTGTTATTTCTGTTCGGCATGACTTGGGGAACTCCCTGAATTGTACTCACCCTTTAGCCCATAAGGCCCGTAAACTGTACCAATCGGTACCCACATGCTGGGACTGATTCTTGGGGAAATCTCCATTTGAAACCGTCCTTGTACAGCAAATCATGAGCATCTGCGCCGCCTCCACAGCAGGCAGCGCGCGATAATGAAGAGACTGCCTCCTTCAGAGGATGCAAAATCTGCGAGTTTCTTGCCTAAGCCCACTGGATGCCGCAGGCATCTACGAATTTTACTTATACACCGCATTGGTCAATAGCTGTGATATCCTTTTCCCTGTGTTCACATGTCCAGCTTTCTCCGCAGCATTACTTCCATGTCAAACTACTGCTGACATTGACATATCATCGAGATCCTGGGGATCCTTCGGTTCTTTGAAGTGCTTGGGAAGGTTCCAGATGAAGTTGCGGCTCCACCTGGGACGGTCCTCTGGGAGGTGGCACCTTGTTTTGGGGTTACACAGGGGCTTTTGAGTCGTTTGAGTTTAGGCCATAGTTTCGTGGAAGAACGTGCTGAATCCAAATGAACCCCCTATCATCTTTACAGTAATTCCTGAAACAGCATGCCCTTGATGATTCCACCTTCAATCCTCGAAAGCTTTTTAAAATGGGGTAAATCGGAAGCTACAGTCGAAAGAGAAATGCTTCCAAGGGGTATGTGGCAAGGTGAGAGTCTCTAAGAGTTGCGGTTAGACAGGGTATAGAGGGTTCCTTCGGAATTTTGGTGAGTACGTAAACAGGCAACCCTACTAGGGACGGTCATCAACATGGATCCTATCTTGTAGACCTCTGCCAAACGGGGAGATCAGGGGGCCGCAAAGGTGAGGGTCATCCGGTTGGACACAACCGCTATACTGCGCTGTCAGTTAAAAAGATCCCAACAGCGCAACAGCATCCTGGACCTTGACTTAGTGCCTTCGTTGTTCATGATCTCTAAGCTCGTCGTTGCGTGGACAGTGCGAGTCAGAGCTTCCCTTAGCCCCAAATCCAAACACAAGGGACAAGTCCTAAGGTTTCAAAAACCAACCAACGGTATCCAGTTTCTGGCACATCACCAAAGAAGTGCAGGCAATGGACCCCGAGAGCTTGCCTCACGGGGAAGCTACGCTGGCAGCCCTTCCCTGGTCATCTCCAGATGTAGGACCGGCTTGGGACTTCTTTGAAGTGGTAAACTTCGGGCTAGGGGTGTCAAGGATTTGGTGTCCAGCTTTTGGGTGTGGGGTGGAGGTCTCAGGGGCAGTACTCCTATCTCTACTTTTTTCACACACTGTTTTTGTCTCTCCATGAGCCGTGAGTGCGAGGAGATAGGATAACTAGGGTCCGCCAACAGTATATAGGAAGTTCCCAAAATTAGTGTCCCTTTTGGTACCCTCAAATATTAGGTGCCGTAATATAATCCATAACCAAAAGGCGCCCATAATTGTGAGAAGAACGCATGTAGTTTGAATTGGATGACCAACACTTTTGACATTCACAAGTCGTCCATATTGTCAGCAGAGCTGTACCCTTTAGTGCCTGGCGTGTGATGAGGATCACGATAAGTCTTGATGTGATCCCATAAGCGTATTGTTGTTGTCCTTGGCAGTCTGTATAATCCCAGTCTCCATTTCACTTTCATTTTCTTCTTCATTCGATTCCCCCATTATTGGGGTAGTGATCCCCATCTATTCCCTATATAACCCATATAACCATGTATCTATCTATCTATATTTAAAGCCCCATATAGATAAACAAATATGTGTATATGTATACATGTAAATATCTATACATACACACACACACACACCACATCCAGGGCCACCGCCCTGGCCGGAGCCACGTGTGGACCATTTGGCGGACCCCGACGCAGCTGCTGTTGGAGCTGAGGTGAGCATTGCTTTCAGCAGCATTTATGTGGGGGACTATACAGGTTCCTATTCTAGGGCTTGTTAAGGGGGATGCTACCCTCTATGGGCTTCCCAAAATTAGGGGTATTCAAGAAATTAAGTGGTAGCCTCAACCGAGTCATGCGCCATCTAACACAGGAATCTCAGGGCATGCTTGTACGTGTGTTCAGATAGCTTTCCGAATGCTTCGAGACTATTGGAGGAGAGGCTGCAGTGGCAACGGGAGGGGTCTCGTCTGGCAGGCGAGCAGTTCTCTACCCATCGCCGCGCACTTCCAGGCTGGCTACTCCTTCTGTGATTTGGTCCTGTGACTTGATATCAGATATCTCCGCAGGACATCGTAAACACCGTCTCACAGAACCAGGCATGGACATCGAGAGAACGGCTATACCTGCAGCCGGGCTCTGTCAGGTGAGCATTATCCAGGGCTCCACGGGTTCCGGCAAGACCACGCAGGTTCCACAGTACATTCTGGACTTTGAGGCCTGGAGCTCCTTGCAGCCCACTTTTAGCAAAAGTCTAACGCCTCGCTTGCAAGGATGGCAGCGGTCCGAAGACAATCATTGTGACGCAGCCACGTCGCCTTGCGGCCATGACGGCCCGGTGCCTTCAAAATGGAAACCTAAATCGTAGCTTCCATTTCATTGTTCATTTCACTATCCATTATCCCCAAGCACTGCACCCTGTACAGCTCCATGGCTCCATGTAAGAGGGAGAGTCCCACTTTTGACTCTAAGCATCAGATAGCTTCAGCCTATTTTGGGCCTATTTCTGAGGTGGCCCGGCGGGTCGCAGCTGAGCGCGGGGAACCTTTGGGTGCCTCCGTTGGCTACGCGATACGCTTCGATTCCGTGCATGTCTAAGATTTTTGCACGCTGCGGAACTGTCGGCAACCCTTTCTCCAAAAGCTCTGGTGAAGGAATCACTCAAAGACCCTGAAGTCCCTTGCAATCACTGAGAGAACCCAAGGTGTGGCCACAACGTCCTGGAGGCATTTGCTACATGACGTCAGCGCCTGAATCGTGCTGAACAGCTGGCAGCTTCTTGGAATTCCGTTGGCTTTTGCAACAGACGTATTTTCTTTGCCTTGACGATGGACCGAAGTTGATATTGCGAAAGTCCTCACGTGGCGTAAGCATGCGCACCTGAAACTGAGCCGTCTGGCCGTTTAGCGCGTCTGCTCAAACAAAACAGACCGACCTTGCTTGTATCAGATCATCTTCAAAGGTCTGGCTTGCTTCTGAAGCGTCTCCACTTCCGCGGTCTCTGTGGGATCTCCCACGTCATTGTGGATGAGGTGGGTCGCGTGTGGCTGTCAAGGCAGAAACATAACGTTGACGGCACAGGTTCACGAGCGTGACTTAGACAATGCTGGGCGCTCATGCACGTCAGTGTGCAATGCCAGTCAGCAGACGTTCTGAATTTCCAGCACACATCTCTATGCGAGCCTCCAGGACCTTCTGCTGGGTTTGCTCCGAGCTGCTGTGTCGGCGCATCCGGAATTGAAGGCCTCCGAAAAGTAGAAGAAGTGAGCCATGGAGAGCCCTCAATCCTGACGCCACGGCTTCAGGTTGTGTTAATGTCTGCCTGAGCCTCAACATGGGAGGAGTGTTTGCCTGGCGGCTTTTTGATTCGCTGTTCTTGTACAGGCTACCATTGATGCGCGGAAGTTTCAGGAGTTCATGAGCGAGAGGTAAGACGTGAGGGTCGTATTTCGACAGTCTGCAAACAGGGAGTCTGTGGATAGGCCTGCGGGCCCCGTCGAATTGCCACCTGCGCTCGGCTGAGAAAGATGAGGCTTATTCAGTCTTTGAGCTACGCTTTCTGAGGTCATTTCCATTGATGGGCACAACTTTGATGCTTTCGGCTTAGACGGACGGCTCTGAGCCCGCGCTACTCATCGAGCCCGTGGGGCGGCTGAAGTCTCAGGTAAAAGTCCTTTACCTGGAGGACGTCATCGAGAAAATGGGGTCCGCGCAAGTTGTTGATTTGCCGTGAAGTCTCTTAAGTCCTTATGGGCCGGCAAGCATGGCCCAATTTTGCAGCCAATGTACAGGTGGAAAGCTCCGCCGCAGATGCTTCCTCAGTGTCTGACGTGCTTGAATTGAAGGTATGTCTGTGTCGATGTATTTGCCTAGGAAGAACGACAAGCAGGATGCTTCAAAGTCGATGAACACGTGCGATGTAAAGCGCTACTCGCCTTCCACTGTCCAGGCTCATAAGTTGCATTTGTTGAAGCAGGAGCTTGAGGGTGCACAGCGGAAGTAGAATTGGCATCATGTAAACGTAGCATGATGTAGCACTGTCAGTCAGTTTCTGGGACTTCATCTCAATCCTCTCCCTAACGGTTCCGCTAGCCCGCAAGTCTCCAGCAAAGAGACGCTGTACAGAAATCCAAGAACAGACCATCGGATTTGGCGACCTAGTACTTTCTTGCGAGTTGCTTCCTTTTTCCACCCTTATCCCAGAAGGGCCACGGCTGTCATACTTTCTTGCTGTGCGTGACCGGCTGTGATCACGGTCTCTGGAGTGGCAGGCACTGAAAGCAATGCCTGAGCACCGGATCCCCTTGGAACTGACAAGGGACAGCTGGGCGTGTGTTGGTCAGAGGGTCTACACAGACGCATGAGACCGCTTGCGTTTGATGAGTTGGGGCAAGCCGTGACTGATTGCGTATGCCTGTAGTGCAAAAGTCGGATGTGAAAGCCATGTGCAAGCAAATGCTGCAGGACTTGTTGTCAACCTTGGTCAAGGAAGGTACGGTGTCTGCAGAGAGTGGTTCCGTTCCGGCCTCAGCCTTGTAACTGCTCATCCTTCCTTAATGCACATGGCAGGTGTAGCCTTTTGAAACTCGTTGTGCATGGTGCTAGAGGTCCTCGTCTTCCTGCCGACATGGAGCATCATGAGCATCCTCAGCAAGCTCATAGAGGCAACGCGCGCCACTCACTTGTTTTCGCTCGAATAAACGACCCCAAAGTGTCCAGGCCGATGAGGTCCTGAGCAGGCACTGCAAAGTCATCATGCTCCATTCACAGGCAGGACTTGTCTGCAGAAGGGAGAAGCAACGCAGGAGTTTGTTGCATGGTGGCTGTACTTGGCCGTGGAAGGTGCCGAAGAATGTGCAGATGGAGGCCTTCCACCCCGCACCAGCAGGGCTTGCCAAGGCCAACCTTTTTTTGAGGAAGGTAGCCTTACTTGATTTATATACTGTCTGTAAAATATTGTCTTGTTTGAGGTGATTCTGGCCACTAACATCGCAGAGTCTTCCATTACCATCGATGATGTCACCTGTGCCCGGCGCTTGGTGACATCAGCGCTGAGGCCCGCCATAAAATGAGTTAAACCCGGTAAAAGCGGCTTCCTTGAACTTTGTGATATGCCGGTGTCTATCTTAAGTGGGTTGTATGTCAACTGCCATCCCGAGCGGCCTGATGAGCCATGCCCTGCCAAGGTCATTGATTCCTGCCGGGTCATGGCCCTTGGTGTGATGTAGTTTTTCTAGTTTTGGTCCAGAATGAACCTGTGGTTTAGGTGAAGTTGACGTTTTTCTCAGAGACCACGAAGCTGTCGCTTGCGACTCAGTTTGGAACCCACATGTCCAGTCTACATACCTTGCAAGCAAAGAGCCTTTTCAGGTACACAGATGTGGTGTTTACCGGCCGCCACAACTTAGAGCAGAGGAAGGCCCTCAATGCTGGCAATGCTGTGTAGTGGCAAAACGCGTATTGCCCTTGATGAGCAGCCAAGTCAGGACCAGTTCCATTCCAGAGCTTTAGCACCAGTGGTAATGCCAAAGCTACCAAGATTCTCTGCATGCAGGGCCGTGCCGGACGAACACGGCCAGGGCTGTGCTTCAGACTCTGCACGCAGCAGCGCTTCATGCAGGGTCTGCAGGCGCGAGAACCCCAAAAAGTACACCGGGCCAGGGTCCTCAGACCTGTGTTTGCGAGATGTGAGGAAGGTTTGGGGTCGAGAGTCGCAGGCTCAGAATAGGCTACCGCATTCCACTTAACTCTCAGCGTTGTGAGTTTAGGGTTGCAACGTGGTAAGACTTCAAGAGAAGCACCCATTGGAGTCGAAATATTCAGCGGCAACTTCAATGACAGAAAGTGACACAAGGGACGAGCACATATTCCTCCATATCACGAGGAATGTCAGCTTACTGACCCTGCCCCTCCTCCCCCGGCACCTTCTTAAAAAGAATTCGTCGCCCTGTCGGGCTTAGAGTTCCCTAAGCCCCAAACTCACGTACTGTAGACCCCCAAAGCCCTGGTCTGTGACTGGCGAAGGAGGAAGTTCCTCCTGAGCTCACTCGAATGCCGCTTGCAGCTTGGCTACCATTGCTTCCTGCAGAAAACAGGAGAGTCTGGGTGCCCTAAGGGTACCTGTAGATTGCCCTTGGCTGGTTAGAGGCATATCATGTTACATCCTAGAGTTCTAGGCCTGCATAAAGTATGATCCCTCTCCACTGGCAGCTGGCTGCATGCCCTCGAGAAATTTTGGTGAGCCAAGGTGGGAGCTGCACTGCTCGTGAAGTCTTTGGAGCTGGGCGACATCGCAACAGTACTTTCCCAATGCCCAGATCCACCATCAGAAGCCCTTGCAGGGAACTCATCATTTCTTTTCACAAGTGAGCCGGCATTGAGAGTAGCTGCTGCAGTCAGATGCCAACCTGCGAGCAGAAGTATACTGAGCAGGTAGTGCACGCCATCAAGCAGCTGACACTCGTAAGGCCGGTACAGTAATTCAGATGTGGGAAAATGCGTTCTCATCAGCCGCGCTGCTCCCATTTCTAGCAGCATGTTTGAGACTGCGGTTCATTTGCGTTTTGAGGATGTGTCACTGAAGTTGATAGTGGCCTCAACAGTGGCCTGAGTGGGACCTCATGTTGCAGTTGCGACTGTGACGCGGGGCAGGGCGTTAGATGATGAGCAACATCTCACAAGCCTTGGTCGAATTTTGGCCCGGCTGCCTTTGGATCCTCACGTGGCTCTTGAAGCACTAATGGACGTGCCCTGCGGCTTCTGCGCCAAGCCAAGACACTGTGGCTGCGAAATTGCACTTCCTTTGCTCTAGGTTGGTCTGGCCTTGCTGATGGGACATTGGTTCTTTGGATTGGGCGATGCTATGTGTACTCTGTGTGCACGCCTGAGTTCAGAAGTGTGTCGTGCCAACTTGGGCCCGAGCAACTATTGCCTTGGCAGGTGCCGCCATGTCGTTTGACGAACCCTTCCATTTCGAGAAGACGGCGGGCTATCTACCGTGGTCAATCTCTCAAAAGTACCAAGGCGGCTTGGTTTCATACGCTGTGATGGCAAGTGTCCACGTCATATGACTTGATTTATGCGCACAAGGGCCAGCAAGCAGTTTGCTTGCTGAGGTTCGCACAAACACTCGGACTGGCTGATGGGTATTGACTTGTAAGCCGCTTTTCCCTCGCATCCTGAGTTTGCATTCTTTTGCAGGATCAGTACGTCCTGGGACTGGTGCATCAGGACCGTATCAGGTGATCAAGAATCAAGAACTGCAAAGCTTGCGTCACGCTCCGGCTTTGTGGAAAAGATTGGAAAAGCAGCCCTCAGGAATACGCGCGTTTGATCGAGACAGTTGGCGAGAACTCTTCGAACAGCATCCAGACCAAAGTGAGATGGAGATTATCGCAAGTCTGTTTGGAAAAGCATTTGAGCCCTGAGGATTTGTGGCATCAGAGGGCCTCCATCCTGCCATCATGCGACAGGCAACGCAAGCAAGCTGCCAAAAAACCCGGGGAAACTCAGTGCCCACCAGGTCTATGATGCTTCTGAGCAGCTGCGCAGCCTTTTGCAAACCGATGCCTTGGGAGCCCTGGGCATGGGAGGGCCTGAGCCGCTTGACGAGGACAAGCGCTGAGCATCCGCTGTCTCACCTATGTCTTGTGGATTCGGGCCAACATTTGTTTGCCTTGATTCTTGTGCTGGCCAGGATGCCATAGGTCCGTCCTCGAAAAAACGAAGCTACACGGCCATCCGGGACTGGGGACCACAGGCACCCCAAAGCTATGTTTTGGATAGGGATCACATTCGTGGCAACCAACGCAGGTCGTGTAGATGCAGGCATGTCCATGGCTTCACAGGAATGGCAGTGGGGAGCCATCCTTTTGGCACTGGCCACTGCCTTGCCGCACGTGGCTGTGCACCAAGAGAAGCGGCATCTCTGGGTTGAGGAGGCCAGGTATGTGGATGTTTGAATTCCCATGGGGTGGTCATTGGGGGGGGGGGGGGGGGGGNNCGGCCAAAAAAATCGCACTGACATTGGAAGGATGCTCGTGGAGCAGTTCACAAAAGTTCCGTGAATTGCTGCAAAAATTCCTTTGTGGCTTGCTGGCAGTACGATTGAGTTGCCAATCGGCCAACGGAAACTTGAAATGCGCTGATCAGGTTTTTCCAACACCGTTGTTCGCTTTCCTTGACCGAACGCAAGAAGAAGGATGGCGACCTGCACGGTGCAGGCTGATATCATCGATTTGTATCGATCTGGTCGGTTGCGATGCAGTCTTTATTTTGAACCGGCCAGGCAGCTTACGAACATTCCTCCACTGTTGGCTCTGTTGAAGCCATTTTCCCATTCTGAGATTCGAATGGATGGTGAGGACTCATGCTGAGAGAAGTCAAACCAGGGGATGGATGGATCACTCGGCAACACCGATAGCACAGTAACAAAGTAGCAGAGGCAGCAGCCTTTAATTTCGAAATGGTGTATGCCAGTGTGGAGTAGGCACAATATGGGGAGATGGACGTTGATTTTCTTGTGGTGCTGCTTCCAGGATGGCAAATGCGTGATTATTGCCGGTTGGATTCCTGTTGGACCTGTTCCGGCAGAAACTTGTCCTTCATTATGTGTTGAAGGTTGTGTTTGCTGGTGCATGCTTAGTTATGTATGACTATTGTTTACTTCGTGCTTGTGTGTCACCAGTGGCCAGCACAGCGACCGCTTGCCCAGGACACAGTACACTTGGTGCTGAGCCTACGCAGCAGACTCGAGGAGTCCTTTCATGGGTTGTTGCTACAGACATCCACGTGCCTCAGATTAAATGGAACACACCAGTGTGAAGCTGGCAAAGCTGGCAGGATGCTTTGTTCGAATGCGCGGAGCAGAACCTTGGAGAAGGTAGATTACAGAGAATATTTGCGAGCGAACTTTATGCTAGCAACACTCGACCCTGAAACGGATTTTGGTATGGAAGATGTGGCAACGCCTGTTTGCATCTCAGGATTTCAACGGATGGTGGTGCCGCATTTGCGAGGGACGGTGGCTTCAAAGATAAAGAGCTCATATCGCTGCTGCAGGAGACACCGGAATCGCTCCGCAGTCTGTTTCACTGATACTGTTTGTTGTGTCCTGCTTCAGAAGGAGTTGCTCCGGCAAAACTCTTTGCGGTTCCGAGAGCCTTTGCAAGAGGAGGTGACAAAAGGTGCAAAAGGCAACGGCAAAAGCTGCTATGGCAAAGCTGGCAAAGCTGCGAGCGGCCAAGCGCCGTCACCAACTTCAAGGGGCGGCTGCATCCCGGCTTTTGTACCGCGACCTCCGAGTCTAAGGCGGCGCACTTGGACTGTGCCCAGAAACCACATGAATGGAGTTTCACTGTGCCGAGGCCTGCCTCCAAAGGCCTGATGGGGTGTGCTTCCACAGCTCATGATGTTTTGCGGGATTTCTTTTTGTTTGTATGTGAACTTTCAGGCATCAACTGGTGGAACTGATGGAGATGCTGAGTTTAAACTTGAACCCGCCGACGAAGCTGGCCTGAACCCTGAGCATGTTCGACCCGTAGCTTCGGATTCATGCTGCACGCCCCGAGTGTCACGCTGCAGCTGATAACTGAAAGCCGGCGACAAGCGCCTTGTCGGAGAAGGAACTCTGAGTGCCAGGACTCCTAGGCTGGCCTGCGCGTTCGGTCGGGCAGAGCTACAGGTGGAGAAGAACATGCGGAGATGAAGGGTTGAAAACACAGCGTCTGGCAACTTCAAGGAGCATGATGGAATGCTGTCTCTATGATGCGTGTTGCGCTTAAGGTGGGTTCAGACAGGAACGCCGTCAGCTTCTCAGGGTGCATGTGCAGTACACTGCAGAGTGGCAAACCCTGATCTTTGCCAAATCATACCCTCCCTTTTCACTCTGTTGCGATGAGAAGAATACTGAACATGTATACAAACAAACCACGTTCAAATCCGATAAGCGAAGGATTGAATAGCCTTGATCTTCTCCAGGCACCATCCAGAGAATCAGCCTGTCCACATTTCGAACGGCATGAGCCTAAGCAGCGACACTTAGGCAGGTTAGAAACAGATTCTTAGCATTGTCCTAGTATCCCATTTATTGGGTTTACGGCCCTATAATGGAGAATCAAATGGAAAAGAAAATGGAAAATGAAATGGAAACAGGATTATACATTATCCTCATTTCATCTCATTTGGATTTCAAGCCAGTTGGATTCAGTACTTCCTCTGATGTGAACCACGGTGTTTCGCAGAGGTTCTGCGTGCCTGCCTGCAGCTGGTGGTCGAAAAGACACCATGGCGGTGATGCTGCCATGGGCCTACTGTGAAGAGGCTGTGTGGCAGCGTCATGGTGGCTTTTAGCTGTTCTGTGTTGTATTGGAGCCCTAGAGCCTTCGGATTCATGGCGCCCTCGCCTTATTACGCTCCCGCTTTCGTTTTTCTACAGGTTTGGCTCATACGACCCGGAGGAAGGGGGCACCCGAGCTTCATGTAGATGTGAGCCTTCTGCTCTTGTGTTCCACAAAGGGCTACGGTACTCCCAATGCCTGGTGAGGATTGTCGTGTTTTGGCGTTTTCATGTTCTCATCACACTGGCCTCCCAAAGGGATCATGGTAAAGCTCCTCCATGCAAGGGTGTGAAATAGAGGCTCTAAAGGCTCTATCACCCCCTTGTGGATCAGTGTACACCGAAAAACGGGACAGAGAGATCCTGCCATTCTGAGGCCGGAGCTGCATCGGACCTGTCACCTTCTCAAACAGCCGCTCCTTTTCATGGTGAGCCCCCAAGCGTCAGGGATGGGAGATATGATGAGGTATAAGGACATGTAGCAAAATCAGGATCTCTGTTTTCATTATCATGATCAGGGCTCCTCCGCGGTCAGCTTACAGAGTGACCAAGGCAAATATGTTGATCTCTACTAGTAATGACCTTGGGTTTGGCAGGTGTTGTTGTAAACGCGTTACGAATCTTGTGTACAGGACCGACCTGCGGCCATGTTCCTTTTGGTGGACGGGCTGCGTGACTCTAGCGCCCGGAGCTCGTTTTGCAGTTACCGTTCCACCATTGTTTTTTTGCTTTTTAGATTTCCACACTTATGGTATCTTCCTGTTGCATGCGCACTAGGCTGCTGCACTGTTCTGTGCGCAACGATTCCATACGTTCTTCTTGCCGCGGCCGGCAGCCTAAAGGCTTTGGATCTGCAAAGCGAGCCAGAGTTTCCACATTCTTTCGTCGATTCTTGACAGAGTCTCAACCGCAACACTGCCTGAAACCTGCCGGCTGTTTATCTCCATTTTGCAGCCTTGACTTCTCAGGTTTAGTGCTCGGCAGGATGAGCTGAAAACCCAGTTGCTACTTGATTTTCTTCGTGATTCCTATTTGGAGAGCAACATGCTGGGGCATTTATCAGCACCTCATCATGCTTGCAGTCTGTTCGGCTGGGTTCAAAACGTCACAGGCCGGAAGACTTTGAGCTGATCGATATGGTCCACCAGGCCTCCGGCAGACTTGAGTTTGAGTGGGCCCAAAGGCACCCGCTGGCTCCAAAAATGTCGGAATCAGAGTAAGTAGCTCGGCATCACGGCCAAACCGCAGTGTTGTGGAGGTCAGTGTTTACTATGCCTTGAGATGATTGTGCGCTGAAATGAGTGGATCCTTAGCGTCGGCAATGCTTGAACATTTTCGCAGGTGAAATGCCACTTTTTGATGGTTTCCCTCTTACGGACAGGAAATTGACGTGTTAGAGGCTGTCTTCTTGGCGGACCCCGCATTTTGGAAACTGCCCTTGAAGGACCTTACAGTCTCGTTCAGCGTTTTCTAGACTGAACCCAACAAGATCAACATCCTCTGCATTTTTCCGTGACGTACCAATGGATGTCATGTTGCCCTCAAGCCTTTCAGTATTCTGTTGCGGCCAGTATTTGGTGGTGGTGGCGGTAGTACTCATAGTAGGAGGGGAGGATAAGGAGGAGCAGCGACAGTAGCTGTGGCGGCGGCAGTGGTGCTGATGGTGGTGGATGTGGTCGTAGCAGACTAGGCAGAAGAAGAGTAAGTTTTTTTTTTTTTTTTTTT